CTGTGAGATTTCCCTGGCCGGTTTAGTTCAGTGGATAGAGCGTCGGCCTGCAGACTGAAGGGTCCCGGGTTTGATTCTGGTCAAGGGCATGTACCTGGTCCTTGATCCCTGGCCCTGGTCCGGTGTGTGTGGGAGGCAACCAATTGATGTCTCTCTCACATCAATGTTTCCCTTTGTCTCTCCCCCTCCCTTCCACTCTCTCTAAAAACCAATGGGAAAAATATATTCATGGGTGAGGATTCACAAAAACACACACAGAAAAACGCCGTGAGATCAAATTTAGTCTATTTCACAGAGATCTAAGGGGCAGGGAAGGAGTGTGGACAGGTGATCACGTGTTCCTCCTTTCACTGTCATTTGAGCTACAATTCCTCACCTCCCAACACTGTTTGTTGTCTGCAGGCAAGACGGTAATGGCTCCCCAGAGAGAGAAGGAGAATTGGTTGATTCTTGCACGTGCCCTGACCGGGGATTGAACCCACAGCCTTGGTGTATGGGCGCGACATTCTAACCAACTGAGCTGCCCACCAGGGCCTCGCATCCCAGGGTCTTAAAGCCCTGAAATGAGCCACAGACGCAGCTGGAGTCAGTACCCGACGCTGGTCAGTGCGGCCACACACTGAGCTGGGCACTGTGGGACCGAACAAGCACAGAGCCGAGGGTGTCACCACACTCGTGTTAAAGGGGGGAGTGGAGTGCGATTCAGTTAGATAAACACGCCGGGTTTACTTATGTCACAGGTTTGGCTGAGGACTGATTAGAGTTTTAGCAAAGGAGAGGGTTGGAGCCTGTTTCTCAACAGAAAGCGACTCAGTATACGATTTCATCAAACGCCACCTCTGCTCTTGGCGGCTGAGCGGCCGAGCCTGGGTGAGGCTCCGCAGCAGCGGGTCTGTCTGCCCCACGCCTGCCCGTGGCACTCGGGACGACGGACGCATGTGGAGCCCCCGGCCACGTGGCCCACAGTGCACAACAGCCATGGACTCACCAGGCCCCGCACCAGCCACCGCCTCACCCTCCACTGACCCCGTGGCAGGAAACTGGAACACATACATCACCTACACCACGGACCCCTGCTACTCACACGTTAACAAGCCAGAACGGGGTGCCTGGGGAGCCGCCCTGCAGCTCCTATCAAAACAAGAGTGAGCTGAGAGCTCCCCAGCCTGCGTCAGGCTCGGCCTGCTCAGCACCGGAGCCGGGCTGCCTCGGTGCACCCCCTCCCCCCCACTTCCTAGTCGGCACCGTATGTCAGACGTCCCATTCTAATGTCGATGACTCGCCAGCACCACCTTGTTCGCATTTGGCTAAAAAGCCAGCATCCCGTGTGGCACCTGGCTTCGTGATGCTGGCCAACAAGAGAGCCCCTGGAGGGGGCATCTGGGTGCACTGGCACCTGGCAGCACGCACACCTGTGATCGCTCAGGGCTGAACATGGGGGCGGTGTGTCAGCTCCCGTGGAATCGAGGTGTTGAGGTTGGCCTGCATTCTCCACCCAGCCACAGAGGATGTCCCTTTCTGACAGGCGGACCACCAAGAAGTTTCTTCACAAACCAAGCAGTTTGTGATCCTTACGCACCTGCTCTCCCAGGTCACCTACAAGGCACGTGCATGCTTCAGGTTTGACAGCAGGCACTGCATCGGATGAATTATTCTTGCAAAGATGAGACCATAACCCCCGAATGCAGTTACACACAGAGGAACGCCCCCTCAAGGGGACAGCCAGCTTGGCTTCCCCCCAGGAGCTGGGGAAATCTGCCAAATGGGACTGAAAGGCCAGCGTTTGCCACCACTGACGTGCCCTTCCCGGGGAAAGACCCTGCACCCGGGGCGTGAGAAAGACCGTCCATGTTCACGTCTTCCTC